TGTGTGTGTGTGTGTGTGTGTGTGTGTGTGTGTGTGTGTGTGTGTGTGTAGACTAAGATGTTTTATTCTTCCCTCCTTTTGCAAGTTAATTTTTCACATACTTTCTAAATCAACTACCACTTCGAATGGACTGTGATCTTGTCAACCATTGATGCTCGTTTACGATAACAGTGATGTGAAATCCACAAAATGGATTCAACGATGTCAGTTGGATAAGTTTTTTTCTAGCATTTGTTTGCCTTGATAGTTGTATTTCCTTTTCCCATCTTCTCTGTTTGTTCTCATTCCCTGCCTGCTGATTGGTCCATTACGTGAACTTACTCATTTTTGCTCCAATTTTCAAGATCTTTTTACTCAGAGGTCGGAAGAATCCTTATATGGACGAGTTTTCACTACAAATTTTATGTTTGAGCTTAATCTTTTATCATTTCATGTCATAGTGTGATGGATGGTGGGCTGGGGTGGGTGGAGGTGAAATCGCTCAATCACAACTATCGCCCGTTCGGATCAGAGGAACCGGTGACAAAGTGCACGTTGTTTTTCTCCCTCCCTCTCCCTATTTTTCGTGGCTGGGATACGTGCTTCTAGTTAACCCATTTGGGAGTATGACGTGCTTGATCTGGACCTAACTGAGCGTCTTGGCTACCGAGGTCTTTGCTGTTCTTCGCAAACGCCTTCGTCACTTGTGGTCTCTGTGATCTCGCGCACTTTGCGTGCTGGTTTTTGTTGTGTACTGACTGTTACTGAGACCGCTATCGCACCACCGACTTCCGAGCCGAAGAAGAGAACACAATCAAAATATACAGGACAATATATTAGAAAAAAACGTGTTTTCCTTTTTTTACGGGTTAGCATTCATTCTATTTAATACATCCGGTGCGCTCTGAACGTTTGGTATAATTGACCAGTCAGAAACGTCGGACCTTCCGGTCGAATACACTGACCGATCATTTCGGCCCGGATGCTCACCTAGTTGCGGCTTTTTTCTTTTGGCTATTTTTGCCAAAGAAGGCTTTCATTTTGGCTATCGTTAGTAATGAATTAGATAAGTTTATGAAGCCATTAATTCTGGTCTTTCGTACTCCGAGTTTGTTGACGGTTTTCGTGTTTTGTTTCGGGGTAGATCCCGAGTCAAGTAGATGGGCACCCTCTTTTCACGAGATCAGCCTGTATCTCTATACCGTCGTAACGGGTACTTTATAGATCCCAATCCAGGTGGCCTACTGTCACGCTAACGGTGCACTCTACGAATAAATATGTCATATTTGTCTGTCATTATTTGTCACTCAATCCTCTATCAGGTTGCATGATAGTTTCCTATTTTCTATCTTTCACTCGCTTTGTTCATGTACGCAGCTTGGGTGTATTCCTGACTGTGATATCCATCCCTTCGTTTGTGTTTGCGCCGAATAATCACGCAGTAATAAGGAAATTTGATCTACCGCTGAAATGAAAAATGTCTCCAATTACAGACAACCGAGATAGCTTACTTGGATGAATTTTGTTTTCACCGGGAGTACGAGATGTGGCCAGAATCACTGTCTTCAACCAGGGATTCGAACTTTTGATCATGTTCTTAAAATCTATTCTACTTCTGTCGCTACCGCCATTGCTGCTGCTTCATATTCCCTTATGCTTATTGGATCATCCACAGGTGTCGCACTGTGAACGAGTATAAAATATATCCATGGATTTCTCAGTTTTGCAACAATATGACCCAATCCGATCAGATGATTCCCGTCCCGTTTCCGGATGTCGCACCTTGTGATCTTCCGCCTAATGTACCATTTTGTATGGCCGCCGGGGATTTTGTGGAGATCTATAAAGAACCAGGTTGGTTTTTGTTTTTAGTCTTCTTTTTGGCACTTGATATTCAGCCTGTTGATTAGTAATTATGGGTCCAGATGTTAGTAAGAAAATAGGCCTATAGGTTAAAAAACAACTACGGTAGACAAAATTCAACGAACAACTTTTGTATTGTTTAAAAACAAGCACACCTCTGAAAGGTGGAAGGGTTAAAGTCCATGGCTGGGAGCGTCTAATATTCACTCCTGGTTTTTGGCCGCCTGATGCCCCGATTTTTGTAGTGGTGAACCACAAATGAACTCTGGTGAATAGGCTTAGTATTAAGTTGGGTGACAGCAAATCTGTCCACTACTGCTTGGCGTTGTATATATATAATTATTATTGCACACATTTATGTGATGGACAGCAGGCGGGATAGACCCCATAGTTGCGGAGACCTGCTCTCCAGCGACGGAAACCGGCAGCCCAAGTCCTGTGACTTGGAGTGGCACACCACACATCGGGCTCCACTGGGTTAGGTGTGGTATTAAGCCAAACGACAGTAAAGCTGCCTCTCACCAAAGTTGGATGGCGGTGATGGGGTAGAACCTACGATCTTAGGGTCCAAAGCACGCCGGGGACAGCGACTGTCCGCTGCACCACCACCGCGGATTGTTCTTTTTGCCACCGGACGCTCTGGTTGACGTTCCTTCGAAACCACACATAATACGCGCTATCACATCGGTAATTTGCACTTCCATGATATCATAATGATCGTGTGTTACTGTGCATCGAAGTTCACTAAGTTTGATTAATCAATTTAGTGTCTTTCAGTGTATCACAGATTCTTGTCCTACAATCTGTTCCCCAACGATTCCAATCAAAAGACCATGACAGAGAGCAATGCAAGCGGTAATTGAAAGCGTCAGAATAATGCGTTCAATAATAGGGAACCGTGCTACATTTATAGGTTTGTGGGCAGTCTAAGTTTTTCCTGAACGTAAAATACAATAGTAATAGACTAATCTAATTGCACTGTTCTGTCCGTTACTCTGGCTCCCACGGATCCAGTAACATCGAGAAAACACAGACAATCGCCCACTGTAATGATTGATCCAAATGCATTTATCATTGATACCGTGTGAATTCTCTATGGAAAGTCAGGTTCCCCCTGACAGTCTCATTAAGTTTTCTCCGGTGAACCCTGTTTGTTTGACTTTTCTGTATATTATCGATATCCCTAAGATATGGCCATTCACTTCGAGGTTTTTATTGTATGCCCTTGTGTGAAGAGACTATGGGGCGATTCGCAGGCACAAGAATCGCTCATGAACACTGGAGCTATAAGCCCTGGGACCAAATAATGCCTCAATAGATTAGGTGTGTTATTCAGCCAGACAACAACGTAGTTACCCACCACCGAAGCATCGAGAACATGGAGAGAAAAATCAGTGCCCATTAAGTTTCAACTCTTTTAGAGGTCCTCAGCGCTCGATCATCCAAAAAGTTGAATGATACGTGTCTTTGGTTAGAAACTTCAAAGGATATGGTTCAGGATCGAATCCAGTTGTTTGAGCGTCAAAATCTTTCTGTTTTCGGGATCAACTTCCTAAACTGATGAATTACTTTGTATGACAAACACTTGTTCTGAGCACCCACGCATCAAGCTCTACCCCTAATAGGATTACCCGCCATGAATGTAATGCAGGGCCATAGATGGTATCCTCGATGCTAACCCAAATCCACATAACCTTTTTAATGCTCCCCCGGGATTTTTGTTTACCCACTTTTTGTTCTCCACTGGTTTCTGTTTCCATTTCAGATACTTGGGATTGTGTAGCGACCGTGTTTTTTGTCGACACAGCACACAATATTCTACAATATTTAGAATCTATCTGGTGCATCCTTAAACCAGGCGGTTATTGGATTAATTTTGGTGAGTGTTTGTAATTGAAACTTTTTTTACATAACCGCAGTCATGTTATCATTGTTCTTATTCTAACACCGTCCTATGCCTCCTCCTCCGTCCCACACAGACGCCCGAGAAAGAGGAAGTAAATTAGAACATGGGCGGTTAGATAACGCATGTAAAGCTCCACATAATTTGTTTGTGTAAGTTAGTTCAAACTCTTATTCCTGGTAGTTTGAGTGTCACTGATCTTCCACCAGTCGAATTCGTTATTTATCGTCCAACCTCATCCATGCGACCGCTTACTCGAAGTTTACCTATTGGCAAAGAGCATCTGTGCTGAAACTTTTGCTTTACAGAGTTCTTTCGGTGATGTTATCGTCTCTTCTCTCCGTGTGTGTGTGCGATGAGGGTGAGCTGGTCGGGTTTCGGTCAAGACGTGGTTGAGTAGATCAAGTCCTCGTCCGCCGCTAGGTGTTAGAACGCCTCCACACATAGATAATGAACGATTAGTCTTTCTGGGTTTTAGTGGCCGTCGACCTCTGCTCTTTGTATCGCTTTGCTGAGATCGGGGGGGGGGGGGGNTTTACTCTTATCGTGAACACAATCTACCGTCCGACTGCAGTGAAGGTGAAGGTTAGGGCTTGTGGTGAATTTTCGCCCTCGTTTCCTGTCACTGATGGGGTACACCAGGGTTGCTCTAGCTCCGTTTCTGTTGAACTTTGCCATAGTTGATATCATACATAATCCTTATCCTAAAAAGCTCTGGCGTCCAGCTTTCTTTTGGATACAGTCATAGACTTGGAGTGTGCTGAGAACAATGCGTTGATCGCTGATAGTACATAAGCGATGCTAGATCAGATGGCAGGTTTGGAAATTGAGATTGCCTTTTTACCTTCCAAGTGCAAAGTGCAATCGCAAGATTCACGGGAACCTGTCTGAAATTTTGTTGGATAATGAAATTCTAGAAGTGGTTGAGAATTGTCTACCTCAGGAATTACATAATGGTCGACAGAGATATAGACGCAGTTCAGGCCACATTGGCGTTTTTTAATCCGCTACGTCTCTTGTTTTGGTGGAATGTATTTCTTTCAGTGAAATGGCATGTTTGTGGCTTGGCAGTACGTATTCTGTTGATCCACGTCTACGAAATTTGACTTTCCCGAGCGGATCATGTCCAGCGACTATCTGTGTTCGATAATCATTGTCGATGCAGCATCATCACCTGCGTATTGTAGGAGCATTTCGTGAATGACGATGAGGTCACACTCCTGTGTTAGGGGGCACGTAGTCTTCTATTTCATTTCATCGCTGAAGTAGCTCGAACAGGTTCTACCCAGGCTACATCTGTCCTAAAGCACCCTATTTACAGACACTGAATCAGACAAAAAGAAACCATGACATGTATAGCTGTAGCATGATGCGGAGGATTGAATTAACGTGTTTCAATCTGACTTCCGTCGGGCGATCTCGGGTTCTAAGCTGGTGTCCGAAGAATTGATGTCTTCGTTGGTTGGAGACACTAGGCAATATGGAGAGTGCAACGGAATTGAAGCCTATGAAATTTTTACATGTTTGCGATCCCAAAAATAAAAAGACAATACAAGCTAAAGTCCAACATTATACAAAGTAAACAAGCAGAAAAATGTTTTGCTACCACTCTCCTCCCACTCTTCATAAGTAACGGTTCAGGAATGTTAGAAATTAACCAAGGTCATGTGGAATAATCCCCCGTAAGTAGTTCACTGTTGGTTACACATGCATTATCGCCATCGAAAGCTTACTGTATCGTTTGCATGGTCCTTTTGACTATCTAAACCCTTTTTGTTCGCTGTGTAGAATTTTGAATAATTTGTCTTATAACTGAAACGGACTCAGAAACCTGACTGATAATCATCACGCAATTCTAATGTGTGACACCCGGTCAGCAAACGAAATCGAAAAGACAGAAGTGGGGAGACCACCGGACATAAACATTCGCAATGGAGTCCATTTTTGCTAATTTTCTGGCCGATTTTACCCCCGCGCAACGGTGTTTAATCTCTCTCTCTATTCACGTCAAATACCATACTGCACTGCATATTCCCGACTGACTATACAGCTTTGAACAAACTCGTGCAACATCCTGATTTTCATTACATCTGTTTCTCTCAATGCTTCGTTTTTCCAGCCTCATTCACAGGATTGAATATGATATTGCCCCACATCAGACGCAAGATATCTGATATAATACCCACTTATGTCACTGTTTCTATTGACCACATGCCAGTAAAATGTACTATTTCGCAATTTTGACGACGGTTGCTAGTGCATCAGTTGTGAAATAACAAAGTCACAGCAGAAGACGTAGCTGTAATTTATTTATTAAAATTACTCATAGACTTCATACAGGCATTGTGCTTTCATCTCGTCCATGGTCCATTTACTCTTCATTTTTGAGCACTGCAGGCAGTCACTTTAGCATGGAATCCACCAAGTTGACTGCCAAACAGAATTTGCAAGTTTCCTATAATACATCGCACACCCCAACCACTGACGACCAATGTCGAGGTAGCTAGCTTATTCCTGTTTCTGATTCAGTGAAACGTTTTCGATTAAATTAAAATCCCAGCTGCTGCGCGGTGATTGAACGAAATTGACATTGAACTTGACCCCTCCGGAGACTGCATACATGTAAAAAAAACAATATTTAAATACGTCTAACGGTTTTCTACCACAAACCTCAAGCGAGCTGATATACCAACCTTCATATGTGAAAAGTATGACTTCCGCGAATGCATTTTGGGAGTGAAAGTTATCAAAAACCTCCCTTATCATTGCAAGAAATGTTGCTATGTCCATATTGGCGTATGCAGAAGACCAACAACAATGCGCTCAATAATCACTTCCATTCCAACTCGTCAGGTGAGATAGGTATTTACTTCTTTTGACAGGTAAAAAGAAATTAGAAAACTAGCTCAGTAGATCAGCTTTCACAATATGCTGAATTACTCGTTGGCCACTAGTGAGATAAACCCATTGCCAAATGGAATTTGTTGGTAAAATCAATACATGCTCTGCTTTGTTGGGCGTTCCATAGCAGCTTTATACTACGTGGCCTCAGCTGCATTTCAAATTGAGCCATCATTTTCCAAACGAAAGCGTGGGGGAAAAGTGGCTAATCATCCCAGAATATCCTCCAGATTTGTTTTGTGCAACCGTTCTCTACTGCGATCAAATAAAAACATCATCTTACTTTGATATGGCCGGTTTTCTCCCTCTCGGTTTATGTCTTGATGGAGAAATTTCGTTAAATATGCAACAAACCGGACTCATGTTCACATCGAAGCGCTTCCACGAGACACCAGTTGAATCATCGGATTTATACACCTATGGATTAAGTTGCCTCGAGGCTTCAATCATATGCCAAAACCTTTTGAATGGTTTAATCGGTTTGGGTATAGTAACACTACAAGACGCTTATCCAACGAGCCGCACACCTCAAGGTCAAATTTTGAAGATCAACTTTAATGTTTCTTGGACCATGTTTTCAGTTCTTTCAGTATTGTGGATAATACGTGAGTAGTTTACAGTCAAATAATTTATCAATTTATTTAAGGTAGAATATTTTCATTAATTTGCTTATTTGCTGTGCACTGAATGAAAAAAAGATGGGCAGTTTAGAATACGTTTGCTCAACTTAATAAACACTCTCATGGGACAGGAATCATCTTAAAAAAATGAACTCCCATGCTGCTTTGCCTAAAATATTTTCCAAATCCGAGTTTTAACTTTCGAATTCCTACACATTTTATCGCAACATTCAAGGTCACGGCAATTCGAACAGTATTAGGAGAGAGCTAAGAACATGGATGTGGGAGATTAAGTTAGGAATAAATACACTTTACTCTTAGCCATAGAAGTATGAAGTTGCAAGCTGAAGTGGATTTCCAAAATGAGAGTGATGGTGCACGAGTTTGGTCAACACCTGTAAAATCTGAACTAATCTATGAAATGTTCTGAACACTCTTTTTAGTTACTTAGTGATATAAAGGTCACCGAAATGCAGAGAAGTCGTATGGTTTTCTTTCTGTTGACCAAACTGGTCCAGAACATTTTTCCTCCAATTTAACTGTGTGCATCTCGCTCCCTCCTGTCCTATTGAAGGGTGATGTCGATTATGATTTCCTACGTTTTGTGTCACTGGAGCTGCTGTTCCCCTGTCATTTTTCCTAACCTGTTCTCTAGGAACTTTATTTTTACCGGACACTTTAAAACACGATTTTAGCTATGAAAATGTTTTATGCGCAGCTTGTGACCATCTGATTGATTCAGTGCTGTCTGATGGGAGCACATTGCCTACAGCTGATGCACTCTCTCGGTCTCTGTCCTGTATCCGTGACTCTGCCACACCCGTTAAATTCAGACACGCGTAGCGCAGCTTTCACACCTCAGTTAATTGGTTTGTAGAAAATGATTATCACATAAACGGAAACAGAAGCTCATATAGCTGTTCTGAAAGTTATACTTTCGCTCATGAATAGGGTGACCTTATCACTGGCCTATATACCATCAAATGCCAATTATCTGACGGTTGGGGGAGAAGTGTTTGGTTTACGCATTTGCTTTTTTCTTTCTGCTAGGCCCGCTGCTCTATCACTTCTCTGATATTCCTGGAGAGGATTCGTTGGAATTGTGTTATGAAGAGCTTCGTTTAGCCATTGATCGCATGGGTTTCGAAACTGTGGTACGTTTCTCGGCACTCATTCCCATTTTTGTATTTTTGTTGAGACAAGTTGCCTCTGTCCATTTTTTTACTCTCACACGCTGTAAAGACGGAATGGACGTGATTATTCATTGTTTGTGCATCCAACTAAGAAGGCTAGAATTAGACTACTCAAGAGTAGTAGCAGTGGGATAAACAAAAATATATCGCCGTAGTGCGTTTGCATGTGGTGCACACCATAACTAAAAACAATATCCAAGATACAGCCGCTTTTTCTAAAATAGCGATGAACAATAAGGGTAGAATTTCCCAACCATTGCGCTGTCGGAGGAGGACCTGCTTTCGGCGGCTCGTGAAATAGGGAATTTCAATATTCGATTGTTGAATTGTTTTGATGTGTCGAGAACCATGGGAATATGGAAAACAGTCAAGTAGATTGTATTTCGGTGCTGTTGAAGGTAAACTCATGCGGGAGTTTTCGAGCTATCCAATCTGTTTTAATTAACGTTGATCCAATAGAAACACGTTCAAACGACACCACTGAAACCTATTTTGGCGTTGCTTGGCTGAGTGTTACATCCTATTGGCTGAACCCTCAGTATCTATCTTTCCAAATTTCATGATTGCTAATATAGCGTGATGGTAGATTTCTATCAATATTTGTTAGTCATTTTTTGTAATGCATATTACCGAAGCATATTGCTTCTTTACCACATCCACAGTCGGTAGTTGGATGCATGCACTACCCATATATTTTCTCGCTTTTTATCGAACAGAAAGAGAAAACCGGAATACGTTGCGGCTATACTCAGAATGACGCGTCCATGCTTTCTTACGAATATTCCTGCGTGTATGGATTGTTCCGGAAACCTCCGGGAGATCAATCTTCTACGGTTTGAGTTGCACAATTGAACTGATTATCCTCCATGAACTACTCCGTCCCTACACTGTGGCGTACCTGTTGAGGTTCGCCTGTGTAATCGATTTCCTCTCCCGTTCTCGGGATCCACCACGATACATTGTAAAAAATATCGTCCACATTATCACTCTCCCCTCGTCCGCATATTGTGGCGACTTCTATCGATCCCGTCCCCGTTGCTCTCAGCAATCCATTTCTAATTTGTCTGTACGTCTGCACGGAGTCACGATACCTCAGAATTGGCGAGTTGTTTGAGCTCGGCTGAGCCGGAGCGTTCATTTTAACCGCTGTTCCTCTGATTTCAATTCCGCCAATCAGAGAGGCTGAACTTTTGTACTTTTTTTTGAGCACAAGCATGGTCCATCGCATGCTTAGAGTGTCTATTTTTCCCCTCGGGGGTGGGGAGGAGGAGGGCTGTTCCTGTAGGAACACAACAGTGCGATGTATATCTTTTTGCTAGATATCTGGTTACCTGTATTACCTGCCCATGCTGTATACAAGATGAGATCAACCATAGTCGTAAGTTGTGAACAGTAATTCATATGGTACTCCTAATTATTAGTTACTGTTTGTGTTTTGATAACTAGCAACAATATTTTTGGTAGGGCAAAGAGCTTATTGCTGGAGCTATATTCGAGTTGATAATCCTCAGCCTGCTAGGTCATCCGGAAGAGCCGGAAAACTCCGAGTTCACTCATCACCCAAGAACAGACGTACGAATTAGGTCTGCGAGACCCTGGTTGTGACGGTCACCGACCCGATTGGGTGTATGAACCACGCTCGGAGTCGTTTGATTTCCCGAACTGGATATCAAGCTTCTAAAGTGGACTGTGGCTTGCACATCGCCCGGTAGTTTTGCTTCTCAATCGTTGACTAACCAAAGGTCCAGTTTTTGAATATCAAAGGAGACCGTCTGCCTTGGGCAACCATGAATGGATTCATTTTTTGTCAAAATTCCTCCACCATGATTTCTTTGGTACGCAGTCTTCGCCCACACATTTATGGAAGATATACAGATCTATCCGAAACTCGGTAGTTATTTCACTATCGGCGGTCCACTCTTCATAGACAGCCAGATGTCGCGAAGACATCAGAGATGTCTCCAGTTTGCGAGCACCAATCGAGCCTTCTGTGTGCGTGCCAATAGTTCATCTTTGATGCGTCCGCCAGGGGAGATATGGTTGTCGGAAAAGCAAAATTTGTTTTCCTTCACTATTACTCCCCCCTATTATGGTGAGGTTTTCAGCTGGCTCAGTGCAGTCTTGTAACAACAAAGCAAAGCTAGAGGCTTGATGAAATCGCGTCCTTCAGTCAAATGGGCCAGTTCCTCGTTGTGAGGAAGGTGTTTCTGATGTGGAATGGGAAATCCGATCAACACGAACACAAACGCGTTCAGTTTAGCTTCTTTCGAATTCCGTGACAGATTCCGTCGTATGCACGTTAGAGGAACTGAACTGGAATGCTCAGAATTATTGTACAACGGTTTGTTGAGTTTTTAAATCTCATCAGCAGTACGAGCCAGCTGAGGATCGGGAACCTCATAAGGATACTACTACCCATCAGACAGCTGATCAGGTTGGTTATCCTGGTCTATACACAGCACAAAAGTAACCATACTTGTAAGCTTATTGTAGGCATCTAATTCGCTCATCTGAGCACTAGCCTCCAGGATTATGACGGGGTAGAAAGGTATCTATCGAACTGCAACAGTTTCCCTGTACTGAAGTATTAAAATAATATGAAACAAGTCTTATATCTTCATCATACTTTAAATAACGATAGTAAGACAGACAGAGACAGCGACTTAAAACTCGTGATTACCACCCAATGCACTTTTGCGCCGAGAGTTAAACCTTGTCTAGCAAATTGTAACCCAGTACTCTTCCGATCGTTCGAGCGGTATGACCAATCTATCTATTGCAGTCCATCATTAGATAGAGACATCACTTTAACATCGCGTGCTGGGTTTTCCCAAGCCGAACATCTAATCAGATCCTAAGGAATAACGGGTAGGGGCTAAGCTTAGTGCTATATCTCGTTCGTTCACGTTGGCCTTCTATTCGAGCTAACTTCTCAGTTGGTATAAATTGTGGAGGAGTAATGGGTTCCCTAATAAGTGGGGTCATACTTAGTAATACCTTGAAACTGAAACCCAAGGGGTTATCCTCCTAATCGCTTGCTTGCCTGACGGTTAGATACCCAAGCGGAACTTATGCACAAAGATTAAATGAACACGAATCTCCACACTGTGTCGATCGTTGTGCAAGCTAATCGAGACCACGTTGCCCATTATGTCTAGTGGAGAGGGCAATAATAAATGGGTTACTGCATAAATATCTTGACCTCGCTCTAAGTGTTATGATTCCGCAAGACCGGTGCTGGCTTGAGGAGAACTGTTTAGTACAAACCGCTGTTAAGGTATGGATGATATGGTGTATATATAACAAGATGTCTCATTTTGAACGTTACCACAGTTCCCGGCAGCACCCAGGATAATGGATGGGACAGTCAGTAGTCATCATTTTGAACACAGCCACTCGATCGAAGAGGTCTTGTTCATTTTTGACTGTTGAAAGAAACCGCCAACCGAATCCCTTTGCTTGTTACAAATGTGAGTAGTAACTTATAGCATAAGTACTATTTTGTCTAACCATGTATCAGATATAATCACCGCTCAGCCTACAGTCGGTCTATTCAATCATACGGTCAAGAACCACGGGACTCCGGCTCCTTTGTTGTTAGGGCTCATCAATCATGATTCTTATCTGACTCGTTCACTGTTTGAGTCTTCTAGTCATAGCATATCATTGAAGCACTTCTGTCTTCATTCTTTGGATCTGTCTTTTACCCTAGTCCTTCAATTGAAATATGACAAAAATGGTCTTATCAACGAATAGATGTGTTTCCTACTACCTATTTTTATTTTGAGTTCCGAAATGATTGTGGCCGTTACTACACTGCTGTTTTCCCACATCATTACTGTGGGTTACACGGTACAGTTCTACTGGCATTCATCGTAGTACAGTGGTGAAAACAGTTATGGTATTGTGTAGGATCAATAGACTATCGAATATAATCTTATGCCCAACGGATTAAGCTCCCTTTATTAATGTCGTCTCTTGCCAGAGGGAATAAGTCAGCTTCTTGAATATCTCACTTAACAGATAATCATGTGCGGCAGATCGGTCAATCAGGGTTTCGCAATCAGACTCCGTAGACCGAGTTTACAGGTCTAGACGTTCCGCATGCAACTTCACGATGTTGACCCATATCTTTTGGGTGTTCTTCAGGTTCTTTATCAGATAGACCAAATTGTATGATTGTCCGTATTCGGCTGCGGTAATTCCATCATTTTTGATATACTGTTCCCCTGGAGCAGTTGTCTTCTGTCGGGCTTCTAGACTGTATTGATGGTCGCAATAAAACTGTTAGACACGTCAGGATCCCAAGCCAAGTCGAGTTACGTGCAAGCCTCGGAAGACGGGTTGAACAAGTTTCAGTTATCCATTTAAAGCTGTGCTATCATAAACAAACGTGTGAATAAATTAAAATATATACACTTCAATACGTGGCGTTCCCAATGGGATTCACCGAACTTACAGTTATGCGACGCGATTGAGGATCGACAGCAAGGGCTGAATAGCCAAACGAGGGAGGTCATAAATTCGTGATGAGAAACGAAGATCAACGAAAGGGTCCAAGGCCCACGCGGTGTAGTCAGTGAATCGATGAGGAAATCTCTTTGGACCAAATGGCAATTGGGGTTCGACGCGGTCTGTTTGAGTTAGGTGTGTGTGCGTGCATGCATATGGAGAATCCATTGAAAGGTCACATGATCTAGCGGGATGTACCGACACGGGGAGGTGGGCTGCGGGTAGACAAGTAATCGAAAAAAGTGGTCAATACGTAGGCGTATATGCTTACGTGGAGAAAGCTACTGTGGATCAAACTCTGGTCAATAAATGCGGTGAATAAGCTACCGAGAAAGACAGAAACTAGAAATATTGGGAAAACAGGTCAAACGGATCCAACAAAACAATCATGGGTTTCCGATGGTTTGATAGAAAAGATGAAACATTCAGAAAAATAATTTCCTCAAGTCAAGCTAGAACGCAATTCCAAGACTTCGATTGCTAGTACAGCTAGAGAATTTATGCAGATAGTGGGTAGAGCATCACTGTTGCTCATTCCCTTCTGGGTGGCAGGATGAGTTCCACGGAAACAATTATGTGCCCTGTAAATCTGTTCGTGGGCATGCCACAAACAGCACTATTTAAATTCCAAGGATATCTGCCGCATTACGGGAGCTTCGGCCACGGATTCATGTATAATCTTTGTAAAACTGGACACTATTCCGTTTCATCATAGATTTGCACCGCAATGTAAGCAAACGATCAAGCGCTCGCGTGGTGGAGGCAGGGAGTCCTCGTGTTCTGGATCATTTCTGTGTAAATTTTCGAAACCGCTCCTGATTTAGCAATCTTTGTATGCTTGTAGACGTTCGTTCGCCATAATTGATTAACCTCATGTGCTATATATGTCGCTTTGTTCTAAGTCAGCGATTTCGGAGATTAAACGAAATGTTATTTGCTACCCCGAAGGTCTGGCGTGAGGGGTAACTGACCAATGTGCAATTCGGTTTTATGAAACATCATTTTCCCTCTATCCATCAGAACTAACCCCACCACAACCCATCATGTAAAATTGTTAAAAAAGGTTTGCAATGGTAGGCTCTTCAAACGAAGACTTCTGTGAAAACTGCACTGTAATATCAAGACACTGTCAAGAAAACTCACGTTATCTTGCTCCCGTGAAGCGCATATTCCGATCAAAAGCCAACCACACTGGAACCATTATTACAGCTTCAGATTTTACAGGTGTTGATCAGACTAGTACACCATCATTCTCATTTTGGAAATCCACTTCAGCTTGCAATATCACGACGAGGCTACACCTTGACTTGGTGTGATGGTTTGTGCACCTCCGTGACCCAACGAGCTATACAGAATAGCTTTATAAAGCCAGGAGATCTTATCATGCCTGGAAGATCAATGGGTAGAGGTCAGACGAAGTTCAGTCTCCTGGTCCTCCAGGTTGGGGATTCGCCTGGAATTGGCGTTTCAGTCGATAAAAAGCGATGGAGGAGTAATCGATCCAAGTTTATGGGCCTCCACTTCGCCTCACCCGCTGCCTTGCGGTTAGGCTCTTGTTAGAACTAAAGGCTTTGGATGAGAACCCTAATCGTTACCCTGCTTAGTGGCTGGACACCCTAGCAGTACCTGTCCACCAAACCCCAATGCATACACAAAATAAAAATAATTCCATACTGCATCGGTCGTCGCGCAGTTTAATCAGGACCGCGCTGCTCATTGCATCGAGCGGGGTGGGTAGTGATATGTGGGCTACTGCTCAGATATCCCAACCTTTGTTTAACTCGTTGTCTTCCGTTTCCAACCATCTCCCTTTGCCCCTTCTTCCGACCTGTAATAGTCTATCAAGCAACTTGGATGTCGCTCGCCAAAAGTCATTGTCAAATAGCACTGTAAGTGATTTACCACGAAATGAATTGCAGATTCTAAAGCCTCGTCAATCACTTAATCTGGGGGCCTTCAACGTGAGGACTTTGATGAAGCTAGGTCAACAAGCTTGTCTGGCTCGCACAATGGAATCACTTTCAGTTTCATTTTGCACAACCATTAACCATGCACTAGCGTGCGCCGGTTTTGGTTGCTATCTTTCGGCTACCCATGTGGATGAACATTAGGAGAAAGACAGGAAAGGTTGAAAGTAGGATCGAAGAGAAGATTGAAAAGTTCAGTGGATTAATGATACAGAGAAATTGATATCTACGATCGTCACTGTTTACGACACCCAGCCATATCACTCAGTGTCTTTAATCGAGGTCCCCATCCAGGGAGCCTAACGGGACCTGTGGGACCCAGTCTTCTGGTTAGGGTTTTCATACCCTCATGCCAGGTCTTAGCTTGACCACTCTTGGCTTTCTTCGACCCACTACCTGCCTCCGAAAACATCGTTCGCCGTGGTAACCTATTTGGAGACATGCGTAACACATACCCCAACCGGCGTATTCTACGGAGGTCGACCACTTGCTCCAGTGGGCGACCGCGATTGCTTAAAACTTTTCGCCTGACCTCAGCATTGCTCATCCGGTTGCCCCACCAGATTCGTGCAATGCTGCGTAGACAGCGGTGTTTAAACACCGACAGTCTATCTTTGTCCTGTTTTTAATGGCCAAGTTTCTGCTCCATATAGCAGAACTGGCCGAACTACTGCAGCATATACTCTACCCTTCACAGACAGCCGGATGCCGCGACGGCGCCACAGATGTCTCAAGTTGGCAAATGCCAACCGAGCCTTCTGTATGCGAGCTGACACTTCATCCGTGATGCGTCCACGGGTGAGATGTAGCTGCCCAGATAACAAAACTTATCCACCTCCTCTATTACTTTTCCAGTTAGAGTGAGGTTGGGTGCTGGACGAACCCAGTCCTGTAGTAGCATTATACACTTTGAAGGTGCAAAACTCATACCAACCATGGACACGCTAGCACTCAAACTTTCCAGAAAAGCTTGTAACTCACCTGGATCTTC